AAAATCCCCAGCTGTATAAATAGGTGTAAATGTAATCTGCACTGTATAAAACTCAGCCAAATACATTAGTAATTATTAATACTTTGGCCTGTAAGACAAGAGGCTCTGTGGAGTACACTTGGTGTGTGAGCTATGAAAACTGGCAGCTGTTGCGCATGTATAGCAAACAATCCTGATTTGTCGGTAAATTAGTCACAGTGACTCGAGGGCAAAGGCAGTCTAACAGCTTCAAAATTCTTGCCACATTTATTTCTTGTGTCAGCGAGCTGAAGCCAGTGTCTGCTTCTCTTACAGATCCCAGCTTCTCACAGAGAGCCCCTTTCAGCCAGTAACTAGAAACAGACTGCATGCAACTTTCTGTAGGCATATTTATACTAGCAGGATTCTTCATTAACAAGAGGATGTTTTTGTTTACTTCTCTTCCTTTTTCATTGGTGATGTTTTGGAGTGATAGGGTTTTATTACTGCAAATTATGAATTATGGTGACATACGTGCAATTATTTATGTAAATTGAATTAGTCAATTCAGAAGCAATTTGTCAATTCAGAAGCATTTGTCATGAGGCCCTTCAGAATAACACATCATATAAAGAAGTTATGAGCCTTCATTACACAAATAAGACCTAGAATCCAAGACTGTGCATAAATAATTTTGCCTTGAAAGGACATTTTTCTTCAGTTTGAGAATCTCATGTGAAATAACACAAGCCTAGAAAGCACAGTGATCCAAAGGCAAGCTAAGCATGGACTTGCAATACAAGGTTTATATTTTCAATGAATAGAGAGAAAATAGTTTTTTTGCACTAAGGGATTAAAACATGATCGATAGTGAAAGAGGCAGATGCAGAAAATGCAGTTTATTTGCTAGGGTTTGTTCAAAATTCAGGTTGGACTTTTTCTCCATAGTTCTCCAACATTGGTTTGACAGTATGAAAGGGACGGTGTCTAAACATTTAAGTCAGATATTAGTGAGTCTTGTGAGATTAGTGAGATTTGTAACTTAGATTTTTAAAAATAGGTCACTGAGTATTTTCTTCATAAACACATAAAAGTCAGTGGTTAAATAAAAGTTTAATGGAAAGGGTAACTTTGAACAGCAATATTTTCAGAATCTGTCTTTGTGCTCCTACCCTGTAGTATTGCTGTATTACAACTTGCATGTGTTCTGCCTTTCCAAAAACAGTAATTAAGAATGCAAAATCTCATGGACTCTCATGGATCTCTTTTGTAAGAAATGCACAGCCCTAAATACTGTATGTTCAAGGTTTGATCCATTCTGTTTTTCAGTGACAGGTTTTTAATAATAAATATCAGGAAACTGTTCTTGCATCATTAAATAGCAATCTTTGGCTTTCATCTGCACTCATCTCTGCGGCAGTAATTATGCCAATAGCAAAAAGGCATCATTGTAGTGCTAATAAATTATATAGCCTGCTGCTTTCAAGGTCCATGTGCTCAGATGAGTCATTCCCTTTTCTACTGTGGCTCTTAGATGAGTGTTGAGATTGCGTGTGCGTGTTGGGTTGGTGGGTCTGGAAGAGGGTCTGTCTCTTTGCATGCACACTGCGATAGGAAGCAGCTGGAGCTGTTAGATTGCTGGAGGCTGTTGCCATGCCAACCTAA